TACGTAACGGATTCTCATTTTATTTTATTTTTATTTAAACGCGTTTTTTTTTTTATGTAAATATATATACTCTTTAAAAAAATTAAGTAGAACTCCCATTGCAGAGATTTTTGGTCGACCTCCTCTGACGACAGTGATTGTAATGTTTCCGAATCAAATTCTAATAATAGGGTTTGGTCTGATTCTGAAACTGAAGTAATGAAATATGTTGCTTCAAATAAAAAGAAATCAAAATACAAGATTCGAAGATTTATTTTAGGGTCAACTTCGGGAAACGAATCGGATTCTTCATGTGGATCAAGTACCATTACTGACGATTCATGTACTATAACTGGTGATACCAGTCAAGACGAATGTGGTGGTGTTTTCGATGATTGGCCTATTTTATTACAAGAATTATCCCCTAGCACCGATGATAGTTCTTCTGAAAATATAAAGAAAAAACGACGGAAGCTCGTAAACCATTTAGTCGCTTGTCGCGTTTGTGGTGGTCCTGAATTAATTTGTAACTTTATCTGCGTTTGTGTCGCGTGTAATGAAGGCTATCACCAAAAGTGTCATGATCCTCAAATAAGTCATTTCAAAATCGGTGAAAAATGGCGTTGCATAGATTGTCAAAATGCTCTTAGGAATAAATCTTCCTTGATATTTAAGAAATCAATTAATAGAGTAATGAATGACTCAATGTCTTCTACTCACTTAATTAAAGAAAATGATCAACAATCTGTAGACAATTGTGATGATTCTACTACTATTACAAATATTTCAACTATAGTCAATGGAAAAAATCTTTATGATATTAATTCTAGTAATGATGATGATTCTATTCAAAAGCAAAGATCGGATTTTTTTCAACAAAGAACTGCTAATAAATGTTTAAATGGTTATAATAATAATCTTATCGTAAAAAAAGATAGAAAAGAGGTCGATAATAAAGGTTTGGATAAAGATACTACTACTTTACCTTATCCTCGTACAAAAACAATCACTTCCCCAAAAAAAAGGAATAGATCTTTATTACCTTTGATTTTACCTCCTTCTGAAAAAAGACATTCAACTACAACCGAGCTCCGTAGATTATTTGACAATTGTCCTATGTCAATTGTGAATTTTGATGAAGTTTTTAAACCTGAAGAATGGAGTAAATGCGATGATGTTGTATCTTCGAGTAGAGTATCTTCAAGTAGAAATAGTAGTTCGTCTTCCGAGAACAAATCTCTTATCTCTTTAAGAAAGAAAAGCGTTGTATCTGACAAAGGCGCTGTAATTTTGAATAAAAGTACCTCTTCTCCTGGAAAAAGTTCTGTATCAACCAAGAGCATAACCTCCTCAAGCATGCGTCATGTTACTTCTTCAACCAAGAGTGTAACCTCATCAAGCATTCGTCATATTACTTCTAAACGATCTACTTCTCTTGGAAAAAAAGCTGTTACTTCCATTAATAAACGTTATGATCCATCGGATACGAGCGACGTTTCGCATAACGAACCTGATTCGATTCAAGATTTAATATCTTCCATTGATGTTTTCTCTCCACCAGTCGAGAAATCTCCACCAAATGTTAAAGCAATTACCAAAAGTATCGATGCTTTAAATTCAAAAAATGGCATGTCTTCTAGTAAATCTGTTGGAATTACTGAGAATGACACCAATTTTAACATTACTTCATTATTACCTTTGAATCTTATTCCTTGCTTAAATTTTGATGCTTTAGCATTCAGAGAGGGTACTATAGATGTCAAACGAGGTCAGGTGAAACGTGGAAAGGTTTATCCTGTGTTAAGATGATATCATTTCTTGATTTTTGTTATTATTTACTACAAAGACTTGCAAATTGCAATATGCAAAAAAATTCTGAATTTATACTTTATAAGGTGATTTAGAGGTGGGACGTTTTTTAAGTCCGGATTATTAAGGTGGATTTTATTATTAAAACTTGTAGATCAATATGAACTTTTTTTTTTTAACAAGCTTAGAAACTGATAAATCAATGTAAAGACTTGACTTTATGATTGAATTTTAACTTTTAACTTGGTATCAATAAGGTTTTTGCAAATTTATCAAATGAATTGAACTTTTTTTTTTTTTTTTTTGATGTAGAATTTTTTTAAAATAAAATATTATTTGAATTTAAATTTTGACTTATAATTCTGCTATCTGGGACGGATGTAACAAAAGCACGTGGCTTTCTTCCACGTATTTATTACTCTGCAGACGCTAATATCTATATCATGCCAGATCAGGCAGGTATGACATCTTAAGGGCGCAGAACTGACGCATTAGAACTTCAAATAACATACGTTACTGGTATTATTTATATTTCCATACTATTTTTTTTTAGATCTCTGATTCGGGCTGATCCAGTATTTCTTTTTGATCATATACGAATGCCGCCAAGGGAAAACCTGTCATCGGGCTTTCAATTATATTTTGTACCGGACATATTCCCTAAGAAATCAAATAGA